CTTTTTACAATTCTACCTAATTTCATATTTTAAACGAATTTCAATATAATTATTTGCAAATTTTGCTAATCCTTTTTACCAATCAACAGAATTTTCACAAATTAACAAGATGAAATAACGTTTAAACGTTTTGCATAATTTTACTAACCTTCCTTGTGCAAATTTTTTACCTTACTTCCGCATATTTTCTTTCTCCTTCTTTTAGTTCATCACCTTCCTTTTCCCCCATGTTATCGCCATTCGACCATTCAAAACCTTCTTTGTACAATTAGAAGTTTCAGTCGTTGCAAACGACTATGAGAAGGGTTGCCGACGACTACGACGAGCAAGGGAGAGAAAAAAATAGAAAGTGAGAAAGAGAGAGAGAGAGTTTTACAAGGAAAGAAATTGAGGGAGCGAGAAGAAAGTAAAAAGGGAAGAGAGATCAATATACATCTCTCTCACCAACACGTTCAAATATTGTCGAGAAAAAGAGAGAGAGAGAGAGAAAGAGAGAGAGAAAAAAAACATACACCTGTAAAAGTAGAAAATGTTCCTCTACCTTCTTGTCAAAGTATTATTCGAAATTATTCGTCCACGAATGAGAGGAAAGAATTCAAACAAAGAGAATAGATTTTTTTTTAACAGAGCAGTCATATATTCGTAAAAAAAAAAAGCAAAATGATTTAAAAAAAGGGAGGAACATTTTACTTTTTTTTACCCCAGTCGTCATAGTAGTCAGTCGTGATACTTCTTCAATAATGACGTTCATAGAATCGCGGTGGGCCCCATTTTACGCCCACCATGCAACTTCCGGTACGTCGCGTATATAGTCGTGCCAGATGTTTCAAACGCCAGGCTCGTGTGGATTCGTTCGAATACGTCAACATTTTTTTTTTTTTCATATTTTTTCTTCGCTATTTCTTCCTTTCGCGTTGATTGGATTGAAGAAAAATCTTTAAAAAAGAAAAAGAAAATGGAAAATCAACGAAAAGATTCGTACGATAAATTTTCTTTGACTTCGTTTTGAAATTGAACCTTTTTTTCTTTTTTTTTATATCAATTTAAATATTCTTTTTAGACGTGAATTATATTCAAGGAACTATTATTTAGTATTACAAGATTAATATAATAATATTTAATAATATTTATAATTAAAAACACATACATACAATTTAAATATTTCTTTTACACCTAAACTACACTCAAAAGGAACTATTATTTAATTTATTTAATATTTAATTATTTAATATTATATAATAATATTTATAATAGGAAATACACATGCAATTTAAATATTCTTTTTAAACCGACACTACACTCAAAGAACCATTATTTAATGTTATATAATAATATTTAATAATATTTATAATAGAGTACACACACCTACACACAATTTTTAATTAAAGGAATAAAATACTTACGATGCAAAATATAATTAAACATTAGAAGGTCCCCTCCACCAATTAGTTGACTTATATCATAATTCACGTTTTTCCTGTGGTTGTTTCGTTAGTTCCTTGCGTGAATGTCACGGGGTTTACATTTGTACGTTCCAAAGATATTTATCGTTATTAATCATACAACTATACATCTGTTAGCATAACATAATCTCTTGTCAAAGAATATTACAATATCTATAAATCTTTCTGTTAATCTTAATTAATGTTAATCGTTAAAAGATTTGATAAAATTCAAAAATAGTGTTGGAAATTAAGGAGTGGGGGTTACATGATTGGGTGGGGATCAAGAAAAAGACGGGATTACGTTTTTGAATCAAATGTTAAAGAGATTTATTAAAATCTAACAATAGTATTCAATAATATATGGTATACTACGATAAGCTTTAAATGTATATGTATAAAATACACATATATACATATATATACGGAAGAGAGAATTCACTATCGACCGAGACTCGCCATTTGTTACGAGTTTTCGTGGGGGAGAGAAAGCGAGTTGAGTATTCTCGAAACTCTGGGGGAGGTCACGCCTCTCTCGTTAAAACAAGCAAAACGCACGATCGTAAGTACAAAATGCGTGTAAAGCAATGGTGTGTAAACCTATTCGAAAAAGAAGAAGAAGAATAAATAAAATCGCTTACGTGCGATTAATCTTCAAAGAAAGAATAAAACTATATCAAAATTAATTGGATTATGGTGTGTGTATCGATGATGGGTTTTTAAACGAGATGAAACCCATCTTTTTTTCTTTTATGATTACATGAAAATGAAAATTTGATAGGAAAATATATTCTGTGTATGATTTGACGTCTGTTCAATGATTTGATTCACAGATCAGGATTATAATAATTATACAGTGAGTTACAGGAATAGTGCTTATTTCTATTGCAAATTTAAAATAATTAATATTTGTTTGTAATGCAAAGTTTCAAAATTCTTATACATAAAAATCTACATATGGTATATGTATATATGTATACAGTGAGTTACAGGATGATCTGTACTTCTTTCTATTGCAAATTTAAAATAATTGACATTTATTTGTAATGCAAAGAGTTTCAAAATTTTTATACACTGTAATCTACATATGGTATACATATATATGTATTATAATAATAATGTTAATAAATATACATGTATATATGTATACAGTTAGTTACAGGAATAGTACTTCTTTCTATTGCAAATTTAAGATAATTGTTATTTGTTTGTAATGCAAAGAATTTCAACATTTTTATACACTGTAATCTACATATGGTATACATATATATACTATAAAGTCGTGAGAATTGTTGAGAACCAACTAAGAACTTGGAATGCACGATGCAAATTTCTCTTTCTCTTTCTGTTTCTTTTTCATTTTCTTTTTTTGTAGTAACATCATACAAGATTCCACGTTGTGTTGCAATTGAATTCTTATTACCTGGATATCATTGAAAAGAAAATCATTTGATTCGTGTTACATAAAATTTAAAAGATACTCTCATTATAGATTCTATCTCATACCTGTTTTTATTTTTAAATATTTAACTTTATTAATAAATTTGATTAACATTTTAAAAATAACACATACACACACATGCATACATTAAAAAATATATAATACGAAAAGATATTATTGATTACTATTTTCTTTTTTCTTAGGTCACGTACTCGGCCGATCTAGCAATCGAGATTCCAGGTAATTTGAGCCAAGGTGGTTCCTGGTTAAGACTGGATTACAGTCCTGCTGTTGGTAATCCACCGCCAAACACTACGGCAGCCGCAACAGACATAGGTGATGTTATCAAGTTCAAGAACGTTCTTCCTGGTACGAGATATGAGTTTTGGTTATACTACAGTAACGGCACTCTTCACGATTGGCTCACGTGGGCTGCATCGATCACGACAGGTATATAAACTTTGAATAACGTTAGTAGTACCTTTCTAAAATTCTTAGAATCCAAATATATATATATATATATATATATATATATATAGACAAGACTTTTCCCTTGATAACCAGGTCGTATATATTTCAAACACGATCTTACATGCATTTTAATCGAAAACGAGTAAGAGTAGCCACGTGCCATGAAAACCTTTTTTATTTATTCTCTAGAGTGCATTACACTCAACCGTAAATATATTTAAACGTTTGAACAAATTTTTGTAATAATTTTCTATATCTACATTTTGAATTTGATCAATAAAATTGATATTCAATCGTAACGAATAGAAATTGTGATAGATATTGATCAAATGTATCATCGTATATAATTCATGACAATTGTTTCACGCTTCAGTACCGGATCCACCCTCCAATTTGACCGTATCAGTTCGCAATGGGAAAACCGCGATCGTATATTGGTCACCACCAGCCCAAGGCAATTATTCCGGTTTCCGCCTGAGGGTACAAAGCTTCAGCGACACCGGAAATCCAAGGACGAGTGTGATACCAGCCGATGCGGTGCCCTATACCCTTCGTGATCTTACGCCGGGGGCAACGTACTCCCTTCAACTTTTCACGGTGCTGGACACCAAAGAGAGCGTTGCTTACACGAGCAGAAATTTTACAACTAGTAACGTGTTTCATTCATGGAGTATTTATGATTCTGGTTTAAATACTTTTCTTATTTTTTTTTCCTCTTTTATTTTTCATTTTAGAACCAAACACACCGGGAAAGTTTATTGTATGGTTTAGAAATGAAACTACGTTATTGGTACTCTGGCAACCACCGTATCCTGCTGGGATTTATACTCACTACAAAGTCAGTATTGATCCCAAGGATGCAATTGAATCGGTTCTTTATGTGGAGAAAGAAGGTGAACCACCTGGACCAGCTCAAGCTGCATTCAAAGGACTCGTCCCTGGTACGTTTATAATTAATTTCAAATGTTATTACACTTGCACAAGAGGTACAATCTTTTTTTTTTTGTATCGTTGAATATTAAACCAACCATAATAATCGAACAAATTATATCTACTTTTTTATTTATTATTAATATCATAGGTCGAGCATACAACATTTCGGTACAAACAGTTTCCGAAGATGAAACTTCGACACCAACGACTGCCCAATATCGCACTGTACCTTTGCGACCCTTGAACGTGACCTTTGACAAGTCTTTAATAACATCTACTTCCTTCAGAGTATATTGGAAACCACCTAATGGGACATCGGAGTTTGACAAGTATCAAATATCTCTTGGAGGTAATCGGAGATTAGCACCGGTCAGCAAAAATCGTGACGATGAAAGCAGATTGGAATTTAAAGATTTAGAACCTGGGAAAACGTATCAGGTCATTGTAAAAACAGTTTCTGGTAAGGTTACCAGTTGGCCAGCCAGTGGTGACGTTACTCTCAGTAAGTTATTTTCTTCTCAATCAAGAATATATTATTATTATTTTGTTCCATTTATATTGTTATTTTTGTTTAAATATCCAGAACCTTTACCGGTGCGAGATCTTCATGCAGAAGTTGATGAGAGAACAGGTATGGTCGAAGTGTCATGGAATCCCGAAAATAGTAGTACACAAGATAGCTATAAGCTTCAGTATCACGAAGTGGAAACAACTATTGGTGGTGATAGCAACACTTTAACAACTGACAAAACCAGAGTAAGAAATTTTGATGAAAACAATAATTTTAGAAAAGAAATTATTTGATTTTTTTAATTACAGGTTACATTGGAAGCTTTGCTGCCAGGAAGAAATTATTCCATAATCGTTCAAGCGATTAGCAGTAAAGTTGAGTCAAATGAGACGGTACTTTATCAAGTAACAAGACCATCTAGTCCAATAATTGAAGATTTGAAATCGATTGAAAAAGGTTTGAACATATCCTGGAAGAGTGACGTAAACTCAAGGCAAGAAAAGTTCGAGGTGACGCATAATAGAAACGATACCGGCGAAAGTGCGACTACCTTGACCACAGAGTCGCACATTGTTTTAGAAGATCTTTATCCTGGTGCGGGATATGAGGTCAAGGTTTTTGCCATTAGTCATGGACTCAGGAGCGAACCGCATGCACATTTTCAAGCAGTTCGTGAGTGTTAACTACCTTCGAATATGAACATTCATTTTACACGTGTCCTTGAGAAATGAAATGGACAATTCTTACCTTTGAAATTATTCGTTATTTCTTTTTCTTTTAGTTCCTCATCCACCAAAGAATTTGAGCATTGAAAAAGTTACCAGTAACACTGTACTCGTTCATTGGGAGGCACCAACAGATTCAATATTTTCTGAATATTCTATCAGATATCGTACGGAAGACGAGCCAAGATGGGTGAAACTACCGAGTGTTCGAGAAATTGGCGAAGCAGAAGTTGCCGATATGACACCTGGAGAAAGATACACGATACAAGTGAATACTGTAAGCTATGGGGTAGAAAGTTTACATCCGTTGCAAGTAAATCATACAATTCGTAAGTACACTTTAATATTATATAATATATATGACGTAATATTATATAAAACAATGTTTTCATTAAATATAATTATATTTTCAGGACCAAACCCAGTATTAAATATTCGTCCGATCGTGGATTCAACGAATGTTACGTTAGAATGGCCAAGGCCCGAAGGTAGGATCGAAACTTATGTGATCAGATGGTGGCCTGTAGAAAATCCAGATGATGTAAGAGCAAAAAATGTCACGGAAAGTCCCGAAATCTCAGCACTTATATTCGACGAGAACACCATTCACACGGAAAGAGTATTAGTTGGTGATTTGATGCCAGGCATGCAGTACTCGTTCAGCGTTTATACCATATCTTACGATCTAGTCAGTGAAATCACCAATTTAACTACCAGAACAAGTGAGTAATCATCAGCCGAGGTTTAACATTTTTTTTCTCTTTCTTTTTGTGTGTTTCATTTTGAGTGAGTATAATACGCTATCCCTTTAATTTTGACGCAAATGCTTAACGTGAATTTTCTACGTGCATATATTGTGTGCTAATAGAATATTATGTGGCTACGAGAAATTTCATCGTTTATTCTTATTATCATCTGTTCTTTTATCGTTTCGTTTCAAATTATCACGACTAATCTTTAAATAACAAACAAACAGGCGAATATTACATTTTCGTTAACATGTTTCCTTGCCTTTACTTCCGTCGTGTTCTTTTTTTTCATTTTTTTTTTCATTTGAGATTAAAGAGACAGGATATTATTGAGGATGTATGCGCCGATGTTTACTCATAAATAGGCGAATTAAAATTAATCAGGTTAAAAGAAAACGACTCTGTCGAATCCAGTGCCGCTGATCCAGTCCGAAGTCGTAGTGGTGGTAGATCGCGATCAACCTGGCTCGTTAACGCTAAGGTACACCCCGACGCCTATTCAATCATCGAAATTCGATATTTATCGGTTTCGTATCAACGACGAGAACAATACGACTAAGGAACGTCGTGTAGACGATACTGATACGAAGATAACCTTTATTGGTCTTACACCCGGTAGACTTTATCAAGTGACCGTATGGACTGTCAGTGACAACGTGGAAAGTCGGCCATTGATTAGACAGGATAGACTCTGTAAGTATCTTTCTTTTTTTTTCTTCTTCAAGTAGGAATTGGATAAAAAAAAAAGACGAGTCTTATACCTATTATTATTTTCGAGATCATGTGCGCGTACGTAATTTATAATAATATATTACATAATATTAATTTGTGTCTTTTTCATTTATATCTATTAACGTATCACATTGATAATGTACGTCTTATACAATGCCACACCGAAACGTGGTATCCTTCATTTGAATTTGTTACATTTTTCTTCTTTTGCTTGATAAGCTTTAAACTTCATTAAGTGAACGGTTCGGATCCAAACGACTTAATCGCATTTACGCATACACAGTAATTGTATAATAATTCCAAAATCTGTATACATTCGAGAAAATACAAAAGCGAGGATCTCGTTTTCAGATCCTGAACCGATCACTGCAATAAATGCGACAGACGTTAACGATACCAGGATAACATTGACTTGGGATGTACCAAGAGGAGAGTATGATACTTTTGAGGTGCAATACATAAACACCGAAGGGAACTATATCCAAAATTTAACATCCATTAACACGATAACCATATCCGAATTGAAGCCATATAGAAATTACACGTTCACGTTGGTCGTTCGATCAGGAACTGAATCATCCTATTTGAGGGTGTCGAACCCGCTTAGTGCCAGTTTCACCACGAGCGAATCTTATCCTGGTAGAGTGGACAAGTTTTATCCAACTGATATACAACCTAGCGAGATCAGTTTCGAATGGTATTTGCCGAATCAGGAGTACAATGGTATCATCAGAAAATACAGCATCACTTATGGCTTGGAGGTTAGTTTTTTTTTATTTCTTCAAATATTGTGAACTAACAACGTAAATGAGAGAAAGAAGCATGCTGCACCATGTTGGGAATATTTCAATGTGTCATCAATAATCCTATCATTAATTTAATCGTTCGTTTTATTTTCTTCAGGGTTCTACGCACACGCAGATGCAAGATTTCAGGCCTATCGAATTCCGTGGTATCATAAAGTCCCTCATACCTGGCAAAACGTACGTCTTTCGTATTCAAGCCGAGACGAAGGTCGGTTATGGTCCTGAATTTGTTTGGAAGCAAAAGATGCCGATAAGGGCACCACCAAAACCACCAACTCAAGTTGTACCAACCGAGGTCTGTAGGAGCAGTACTACGATACAAATACGGTTTAGAAAAAATTACTTCAGCGAACAGAATGGTGCTGTAACCTCGTATACCATAATCGTTGCCGAAGATGACAGTAAAAATGCATCTGGTTTGGAAATGCCTAGTTGGAGAGATGTTCAAGCTTACAGCATTTGGCCACCTTATCAGGTAATTTTCGATTTGTGTTGGTTTTCTATTAAAGAAAATCAAAACGTTGCTGCTACTACTGCAGTTTTCATTCAAAGTAAAATCCGTGCCACTGTCACGAGGATAATTTTCCACTGTTAACGTCTCGGCACGTCTCGCGATTACGTAAAACAATGTGTTAAACACACGATTGGATGATAGTGTGTAATCCTTTTTTGTATATATCTCGATGTAGGAGTTAATGGTACGTTGAAATTGCTATATCCGGTTTAATCATCGATCCTTTAACGATTTAATCAAGTAAAGTAATTATAAATTGAATTTCTTTTTGATATTAAGTATACTTTGGCATCTAGATTGATCATCTAACACGAACGTATTTAAACGTCGGATGCCAACGAGACAACAGATGCGAGTAATCAATTCAACGAATTATTCCAAACAGCTCATTAACTTGTAAGATCACGGACTAATCGCATAAACGGCTCACCATCACACACACGCACGCGTTACACGACGAACGACCGTGTAACTTTGAATCTCCTTCATCTATCTAACGCGTTATATGTGCAATCCTATGTCAAACGTTAGAAATACTATGCGTAACACTCTGTAGTTGTTACTGGTGCTTCTAATCGCGAACACGCATGATTGAGATTTCTAAGATGGATACTTTGAAGAATCTTATTGTAAATACTAGTAGATTGATCGTTCAGGTGAAATTCATTCAATTTCTTTATCCTTTAATCAAACACTTTTTACTTTCATGAGTTCAATACTGTTATTATATTTAATCTGAAGTGATTACGTGACTCGTTATTGATCCCATGAACTAGAATATTTAAGTAGTGTTTTTTTATACTTTGCGAATGTATAATTACAAGTAAAATAATATGTATGACGATGTTTTATCATGAATTGGGAAAGTAAATAAACATTTTATTTGTAACACGATAAATGATTCTTTGAAATGTAATATGTATTTTCTAAAAATGCAAAACACGAATGGTAATGTTATTATATTATATAATATAGATTGAAATTTTATGCATTGATGCGTTTGATAACAATTCTAGGAAAAATGGTATTACGTGTATATACGAAGATCACTTTGAAACTGAAAATAGATTTGACTCGTTTCAATCGTCAGTACACATAATATGAGTCACACACATACTCGGTGACAATTTTATTTAAATTTTTCTACCTTTAATAGTTTTGATTACGTAATTTTTACGTTGTTATAATTTCATTTATTGTATAATCAAATTCAAGTTTAAAGTATATTTTTATATTTTTTCCAGGTTATGGAACCTTATTATCCTTTTAAAAATGGATCCGTAGAAGATTTTACTATCGGAGGTGAAAATTGTGATAACAAAATTGGTTATTGCAACGGGCCACTTAAATCTGGTTCAACCTACAGAGTAAAAGTACGAGCTTTCACTGCACCTGACATGTTCACGGATACAAGTTATAGTTTTCCAATTCAAACAGGTGAGAGCGATCGGGCGGAAAGATTTATAATTTGAACGTTTACCTATGATAGTTAATATTCAAATAAAACTTTTAAAAATAATTTATAACTGATAAGATAAGATTTGCATCTTGCGTTCAAGTTTCTCTATTTTATTAATTTTATTTATATTCAATTATTACAAATATTTTCATTATATTTAATGATAACATTTTATTATTGATAATTAATATAAAAAATAAAAAGTATATTAGTAAAAACATTACTAAATTCATGCCTCGTTATTTCGTGTACATGTCTGTCCAAGGATTGCTGCTGGCAGGTAATCAGAATTGTGTTGCATAATTTATGCGAATAAATGTTTCATGATAAGACTTGGATATATTAAGCAAATCAATATTCGTTATTCGTTGTGTTTGTTTAACAGATAAGGATAACACTGCTATAATTGTTGGAGTTACTGTCCCTATTGTTCTTCTATTATCTTTATTGGGTATCGGTTTGCTCGTAAGAAGAAGAAGAAGTCAAGGAAGGAAGACTACCGAGACCAGAGCTACGGACAATTTATCTTTACCAGATAGTGTTATTGAAACGAGGTAAATTATTTATAATTATTAATAAAATATTACACGCGTTAATCCCCTAATCGTGATTTATACTTACTTTCTTTTTAAATGAGATAATTAATTAGTCAACTTACTTAGTCGTAGAAAAAAAGAAAAACTTGATTGTTAAGTATAAAATTTGTTAAATTAAAATAAAATAATAATAATTTTTTTAATTATTTAATATTAAACATTTACTAATTTTATTAATTATATATTTTCAATATTGAAATAAAATAATATAATATATAAATTATAATATTTATATATAAAAAAAAGGATATAAATTCTGTTTATATTTTTTGTTGAAGTAATACTTCGAATTGTTGATAAATATCGTAAATGACGATGACGTTAATAAAATAAAATATCGATCTTTCATAATTTTTTACTACTCCATATCGATAATTGTTATTCGCATTTTTTTTTTTTATAAGAAACAACGAGTTTCTTTCAATTAATTTTCCACATTTATGTTGATTTTCTAATCGTTAATCATTGACATATCAATATAAATGAGTACACGTGGACAATTTAATTGATGTAAGTAATTATGTGAATAGCAGTGCTTTTTTTACGATTAGACGATGAAATGAGATCATTATATTCATGAGACTAAATCGTACGATAAATGAACGATTTTTCTTTTTAATTTATATTATTTTTTGTTCCAGTCGTCCCATCAAAGTAGAAGATTTTTCTGAACATTATCGAAATATGTCGGCGGATTCGGATTTTCGTTTTTCCGAAGAATTCGAAGAATTGAAACACGTTGGAAGGGATCAACCATGTACCGCTGCCGATTTACCATGCAACAGACCAAAAAATCGTTTTACAAATATATTACCTTACGATCACAGTAGATTTAAATTACAACCTGTTGATGATGAAGAAGGCTCCGATTATATTAATGCTAATTACGTTCCTGTGAGTATTTAAAATATTTTGTAATTTATTTTTAAAAAAAGAAAAAACTATATATATAGTAATATAATAATATAAGTATTATATATATAGTTATACTACAGTAATAATATAAGTTTTATATATATAGTTTTATTATAGTATAACTAGTATAATATAATAATATTACACACAATAAAAAAAGTACCATCAGTATGAACCCCTTTTAAAGCCATTCAACTCCATGTGAAACATTGTCTGCTTTGCGTAATAATAACGTAAATCTAGATGGTAAAATGTGGTGACCCACCCTATATATATATTAATTTAATATATAATATAATATATAGTGTACCATAATATAATATATAGTTATACTATAGTATAACTAATATAATATAATTAATATAAGATTATTTTATGTGTTATAATTATTTCAACTTAATAAAAAAAATGCATTGAAATTTTATTCAGGGTCATAACTCGCCAAGAGAGTTTATAGTAACGCAAGGTCCTTTACACTCAACGCGAGATGATTTCTGGAGAATGGTGTGGGAGAGTAATAGCAGAGCTATAGTTATGCTCACGCGATGTATTGAGAAGGGTAGAGAAAAGTGTGATCATTATTGGCCCGTGGATACATTGCCCGTTTATTACGGTGATATTTGCGTAACCATTTTAAACGAGGCACATTATCCCGATTGGAGTATCATGGAATTCATGTTGTGCAGGGTATATACATATATACATATACATAATATATATGTATTGGGTTGTCTGGAAAATTCGTGTCGATTTTTGGTACGTGGCATAAAGTTTGTTTTTGCTGAAAAAATCTGAGAAGTTTTGGAAGGATAACATTTTGAAGTTAACATTTAATATGGAGAAAGTTTGGAGAACAAAATGATACTTGGTACTATTTTAATAAATATTAAATATTAAAATATAATATAAATATAAATAAATATTAAAAAACAAAATTTAAATGCGTTGCGTTTCAAAATTGGCACGAATTTTTCGGACAACCTAATATTTTTGCTTTTCTTAAATAATATTACCAACAAAACAAATTGTATCTCTAATTAAAAATGAAATTTGTATCAGGGTGACGTTAAAAGGGTAATACAACATTTCCATTTCACAACATGGCCAGATTTTGGAGTACCTAGTCCACCTCAAACATTGGCAAGATTTGTTCGAGCATTCCGAGAACGAGTTAGGCCAGATCAACGACCAATAGTCGTTCATTGTAGTGCTGGTGTTGGACGTAGTGGTACATTTATCACATTAGATAGGATACTTCAACAGATTTTGGTATCAAAATACGTAGACATATTTGGAATAGTTTGGGCTATGAGAAAGGAAAGAGTTTGGATGGTTCAAACTGAACAACAATATATTTGCATACATCAGTGTCTACTTGCTGTCTTGGAAGGACAAGACACTACGGGACCACCTCGTGAGATTCATGACAATCAAGGATTTGAAGGTGAGCGTTTTAAATTTAAAATTTGTTTTTTTTTTGTTTTCTTTATCGGTAACAAGTATTTTCAAGTTCTGTATTTTTTTTTACTCCCTCTCGTTTCATTTCATTTTCTACGTTTAAATATAAGTCGAGTCGTGTGTAAAATTTGCGTTGCATGGAAATAGGAAAAATGATAGAATCTCAATGATGTTTGAGAAACTATCTCAAATTCGTATTCGTGTTTCATATTTAATTTTTATATATTTCTATGGGATATTAAATGTGATGTGTACGAACACGAATTATTTTCTTACCTTCTGACATATTAAATAATAACCAATATTAAAAGTTTTGTTAAAATCATTTGTCTAACTTTACAATAAAAAATCAAATTATTTATAATACATAATATAAAATGGTGGCGGTAAATAAAATAGTAGTTGGGTTAGTGGTAACAGAGTATGAAAGTAGGAAACCATAAAAGAAAAAAGAAAAAAAAAACAAATAAAAATAAAGTGTGGGTGTATCGCTTTTTTTGGATTAATCAAAAAATCGTATCACCTCGTTGTAAAATATAGTTAACTGACCAGACCTATTGCTATCCTTTTATAACATTTGAATCCAGGAAAGAATCGAAGCTCGGTCGAAAACGCTAAGAGTCCTGCTGAGGATGAAAAGGAGAGGTGACCTTCGAACTCCGAATCCTGCGTCGATGGTAATTTCGACCGTCGCTTTTTCTCTCCGTGCACGAACTTGAATGTGTTGCATCTGTTAAACGTGATATCATAATAACATATATATGTATATATAAATTAACATATATACACGTATATATGGGAACATATAAACGATGCATGCAAGTTGAGATCTCATGTGATAATTTAAAAAAAAAAAATAAACACAAAAGTAGCCGGAGCAAATTGCTGATTAAAAAATGAAATAAAAAGTCCGCTGATAGTTCAAAATTTTGCGCAATGGTGAAACATTCATTTGTTTATCATTAAAAGGCAAATAAATGAAAAGTTAAACAAAAAGACATAAATTTACTATAATTCATACTAAATCAACGCTGCTGCCGCCTCCTGCATTGATGCAATGTTTGCCAAAATTATTATTTGCCTGCCTACAAGTATTTCATTAACAGCTTTAACGCTAAATCTCATTTTTATTTTACTCTGTGCAATACTAAAACTGTCATTTCTTTAATAATTAGTAATGGTCAAGTATTATTAAAACAAAACAAATAAAAAATTTATAAATAATCTTATTAACCATTAAAAAACACACTATGCAAACAATAATAACATACGAGTTGTACAATATATTCGTGTAGAAATAGTGAAAAAAGCATTATTGTTTTATTATTGAATAATTATAACGCTGTAGTGTCATATAACTCGCTTTCTTTTTCTACGATATAAGCGGGTTTATAATAGTACGCATAATTTTCTAATCGAAGCATGATTTAATATTTGGATACGACGAATTATTAAAATAGTTTCTTTTTCATTTCTCTTTTTTGTTTTGTTTTTTTTTCTCTTCTATTTTTTTTTTTTGTCATGTGTGTTTTATGCTAAAAGAAATAATTTTGTTCTTTTTCTTTTTTCCTTACATGTCTTTGCAGATGACGAAGGAATAGCAGAGTCGGGAATGTGATGATCCAATTAATGATTATCAAGGACAATCGACTTGCTAGCAGGGCACGTGAACGTCTCAACTATCAAAATCTATCTTAGAATATCCTGGCGTTTTGTTGTATGTCTGATTCTTCAGAAAATATGAGAGATAACTTTTTTTATTTTTTTAACAATCTCTCCTATAAGAAAAACGTCAGAGAAAATCTAAGAAATGACGTTCAAAGAAGAAGAATGAAAGCAGATCAACCACAATCGTACGAATTATGAGATTTTGGAATTAAACAAGAAAAGGATCAATTCTAAAAGCCCCCCTCTTCCACCACACTTTATTTTGGGGGTTAATACTCAAGGATGTTTTAAATATTATCTGTCAAAGTGTATTTGTTCGATTAACGTGTCATCAACGTGTTGTTCGTACACCAATTTTCATTCACTGATATGAAACGAAGGATTTAACTTTCAGTTTAATGGAAAGTTTGGTTTGATCTCATTGAGATTTTTTTGTTCTGTTTTATACTTCGATTCCAAAATTGTGACCAATGATATATGAATGATACCTTTGCGTGTAAATGGGGAAAAAGGGAAAGGATCAAATTAAAAATTATTATGCAAAATACATTAATGTAATGACAACGGTATGATACCACAAGAAAGAAAAAATGTGAAGAAGATGAAGAAGAAAAAGATATCGTCTTAATTATATCTTCTACTTGTAGCTGCTATTTTCTGTGCATAGAAAAATTATCATACGTGCTCGTGTTGATCCCTTTATATAGATAGATACAGATTTGCATATCATAACGAATTAACAAACGAAAGAAGAAGAAGATGAAGAAAAATTGAATAATTCAATTTGGGTTGTCACGTATTCGTATTCGCATTTGTTACAAATCTATTTATTAATTATATATTTATTTTTTAATTATTTACATACATACATACATTCATAAATTTGAAATTATCTTTGAAACATAATTACCCATTTTTTTTTTTGTTTGTTAATAATTGAGTACAAAACATAAGAAAGATTTGTAATTTTTCATAGCACATTTTTCTAAGATTACAAATTGAATTTAATTAAAATAATATTCGTATATTTAAACATTTTTGGATAGTAGATTTGCGACGAGTGCGAAATCGAAATGAAATCAGCGATATTTATCGTCATCATCTAGCTGTTGCATACAAAATGGCAACCATCCGTCCAAGAGCCGTGCTAGACGTGCCAATTAAGTGTTAAAAGAGAATTAAATTAAAATGAAAAATGAAAATGAGAAAAGAATGGAGTAAAAGATGTGGACGAAGCGAATAAAAAAAGAGAACACGTGATGAAGATACTGTTTTTTGAATATCATTACTCTCGAGTTAGGCCAAACAAGTTAGTGGGAACAAGAAACTCGCATCTTCATAGAAGCCATATCACTTTTTTGTGAATTAAAAGAAAAAAAAGTCACTCGACCCGATAACACATATATGGTGTATTTAATGGTTATCGAACTATTTCAGACGAATATTCTTGTCAAACATATTTTTTTTATTATTCTTCTTCTGTATATTTAAGTTCGACTTTTTTTTTTTTAATTATTATTAAAGAAGGTACGAAAGAGTACTTAAACTTTGTGTAAATTAATTGACGAAAGCGAGAGAGAATGTGTGTGAGATAGAGAGAAAGAGAGAGAGAGAGAGAGAGAGAGAGAGAGAAAATAAAAAAAGAAAGTAACACTCGAAAAAAATATAATAAAACAACGAGGTCCAATCGAAACATTTTTTTTTGTGGAGATATTTTTCCAAATAGATAGAGAAAAAAAGAAACAAATTAAAAAAAAAATAAAAGAAGTATCAAAAGCGAGAGAATTAAAATTTTGGAATAGTACGAAGAAACATCGCGTATTTTTGGAAAACTTTTTATTAACTAAATAGCGAATTATTGTATGAGACAAAAAATCGAGAGAAATGCTCGAAAATAAATGCAGGAAAATAACAAAATAAACAAAAATAATCAACGACGCGAAATTCTAGACTGAACGAATAAAAATTTTTGCACGAATTTATCAAAAAAAAAAAAAGAAGAAGAAGAAGAAAAGAAACGAAACGAAACGAAACGAAACGAAAAATGAAACATGACAAAAAAGAAATGGAAAAGTTTTAAAAGTATACGGAATGATAATGTTTTCCTCCATAAAATAAAAAGCCATACATATATATATATGCATGTGCAAATCCAATAATCGTCATTGTTGATATTTTTGAAGAAAAGAAAAAAAAATAATAAGAGATAATACAATGACAAGAAAATAAGGAAACGAATCTCGCTAATTCGTAGTTTCTACCACAGTGTTCTTAAGTGCAAATAATATTAATAATATAATCTAAGGTGCCCCCCCCCTTATCGTCATCATCCCTCTTTAATTATTTAGAATATTTCTTAATGATTAATTTTATTTTATTTTTTTTTATCTTCGGATCATTGGGCCATTGTAAATAATTATAAATATATATATAGATACATACAAAAATGTTTCCTTCGATGGGTGCAAGGATAACGCCTTTTTATCATTTTTATAACATTCGTCAAGAAAAAGATATCACACACGCGCGCGCGCGCACACACACACACACACACACACACACACACATCTACCATTTATAATAAGCTTTACTATTAACAAAAAACGCGCTTACATTATTTGATGTTGGTCATAACTTAACCTAAGATTTTTTTTCTGAATTTTATTAACGTCTTTATACACTTGGCAACGTATTGGGAAGTTTTGTTTTTTATAATTATAGTTAATGTTAATAATAGATTAAATTAAATAGATAATAATAATTAAATTAATAGAACAAACATTTGATAAATCGATCAGAGAAGTAAACATTTTGTTCTTTTAGCTGCACTAGTAATGATTATTTTCAATCTACAGTCATTTTTTTCCCGCCAAAATATCGTTTCTGAAGAGGTTAAGAGAATAATATGGTGTTTAATATTTTTGTTTTCAAATAATTTTTCGTAAAAATCAATCGTACCAACTGTTACTCTCCCCGTTCTTCACCCTTATGCCTAAAAAAAAAAGAATTCTTCCTTGCATTCATTCTCGTGAAACTCATTCGTAGTTAAAAGCATATGTTCGTTAGTCATTAATGTCAAAATAACAAAAAATGGTAGAGAGCATGTATGATAAAGTGAATTCGCAAATCGCTTTTTATATGTGCCCATAATTATGAAAGTGGTCTAAGTCAAAATTAATAAAAAATGAGTTTATCAGTTATTACACGCTACATTATTATAAACTAAATAAATTCAATGTAATTTTCACGATATTGTCAAAAATGAATCGTTAGATAATGTTTGTTATTTCAATATTGCATAGAATTCATATAGTGTTCAAGTATAAATCTTTAAATATCTCGAAACAAGAGATATATGACTTATGTTAGACCACTTTTGTAATCATGGGCACATATAGTTCTCATCGTTACTCGATTATGACAATCGAGTATAAAAATACTTTCCAATTGCTTCTAACATAATTTTCTATTTTTTTTTAATTTTAAAATCTGCCAGTGTTCGTATCATTGTCAAAATATATTCTTAGAAAGTATCTATCTTCGTAATTAAAATAAACGACACATATTCGGGGGAAAAATATTGATGTCATTAGACGTTTGAAATTTTTACAGATTTCGATGACCATATCAGAATATGAAAATGTGAAAGGATGATGTATAGGATTAGAATAAAAAAAAGAGGGAGAAAAATAAAAAATAGAAGAAAAAGAAGATGAAGATGAAGATGAAGATGATAAACAATTTTTCTTTAGGAGTCAATAAAATATTCTCGTAGTTCTACTTGAAAAATGAATATACGACATTATTAGCCCTGAATATATTACCATTAATAATTTTATGTTTATTCTGTGATAAATCACGATTTGTGGTTCGCGGAGAAAGAATGATATATAATGAGAGAGAAAGAGAGAGGAAGAAAAGGAAAGAAAAAAAATGAATGTGGAAAGAGAGAAAATGAAATTGTCGAAAGAAAAAAAACAAAACAAACGAAGAGAAAGAAATCAAATAAAAATCTTTCATCGATAAACGAAGAGATAAAAAGTTTACATAGGCGAAAGACAACAAGGTGATAGATAATAATAATAATATTAATAATAATAATAACAATAATAATAATAATAACGATGATAATAATATTATAATAATAATTAATTATTATTATAGTAATAATTATAGCGATGATAATAAAAATGATATCGAGAATGATTCGTGGTATGTTTTTTTTTGTTTTATTAAATTTATCATGACGTTGTAAATATTAATGATAATTGCTTGATGTTAAGGATCACACACTTATACATACATATATA